TAAATCAGTTAAACTATGATTTTGTCTGTTTTGGGTTTTACTTCAGAGCCCACTTTGCTTTATTTTCAATTCAATTTCTGACTGTTGGGTTCGAGTTTATTTCATCTACCTTGTGTTATTTATTGTGGGTCCTCATGAACACCTCCACTGCCATTCCTGACACATCCATCAATTTCCTTAAACCGCTTATCCAATTCAGGGTCTGTTTCTGCTGTCATGAGACAAGAGATAAGGTACGCTGTGGACAGGTTTCCAGCACATCATGAGGCTAACACAGAGACACACAGACAGACAGCCATTGATTTTCACCTTTACGCCCACAGTATGAATCACTACCTAACATGCTAACCTAACGTACATATAATGTGAACTGTGTTCATTTAGTCCATTCCATTGGGTGCTTTACAAAAAGGTGCTGCAGTTGTCTTCCTATTGCAACATACCTCAATCTTCTAAGCCTCATCATCCTTCTCATTGTGGTCAGATGAGCCTCCTTGTTAACAACATGTTATTAAACACATTAATCAAGCTATATTAAATAACTTGTCTGAATTGTGTCAGACCAGCTGCCCATAAAATGCCTGAAACTTCCTCTCTCTGATCAGAAGAGTGTGTTCCTGCTGCTCTAATGAAAAGTGCAGCTGTGAGCTCAGTGATGCAGACACCATTACATCATTCTCACTTCCAAGCAACGACAAGTTTGAAAGGAACTTGCAAACTTTATAATTAGTGTCTGTCCAGTTATCAGGAATCCCAAAGGGACAAGAACGTTGTCCAAAGTCAAATGGTCCATAACTGGGCTGGAATTTCAGCTATGTATTTTTATACTTTTATACCTTTTAAGACCTCCTTTGTTCTTCAGGCTAATTACCTTTGTCTCAGGAACATTTCAGCTTGAAAAAAACAAAACAAAACTGGGTGACATCTATCAAAATGCCTGAGCGACATCTATCAAAATCTATTGTTGCATTCACTAAAGAAAAAATTTCCAAACTATTTTCGGCAGAGGAAAAGAGGACTAACTGACTAAAATCGTCACATTTATAAGCATCATCTTTAGTACTATGTTTTTGCATGCCAATGTTGATGACCCTGTCTGCCTCAGCAGTTTATATTAGAATAAGGAAAATGCTCTAAACCAGGTATTTCAAACTCATTTTACATAATGAGCCACAGACAGACCACTTTGATATTAAGTGTGCTTGGCCTGTGCTACTCCCTTTCCTATGGGTGTAAAGTTTAACTACGCAATTAATCCCCCAGATATCTTAATATATGAAAATGTGCTATTTTTGTAACCTCTGTGGAAAAAATGCATTATTTATGCATTTGTGCCCCATCTACTTTTTCTATAGTGGCTGGTGAAAGACAGAAACATTTCCATTATTTGTTTATCTCTTACTTAATTACTTTGGAGCGGTATGAATGCCCCAGTGGACGTCTTGAACAGTCAAAAAAGCTATGAAACTTCTGAACGATAGTTAGATGTCCAATGTTTGTTGTGCCGATTCTGGTCCCTGGGCCTTAGGTTGGCATCCCTGGTCTAAACAGTAACCTTCAAGTGTTTTTGATTCAGCGCATATTTACTGAAATGAAACGAAACATTTTTTGATCTGATAATAGCACTAGATGAATGTTTAAGAAACTACATTAAATGGAATACGTTATGGGACATGAATGTATGTAGGAAGCTCTCATGTTTAACATTACCTGCCTTAGTGGTGATGTGAGGAGTAGTTACTGTGTTTTTCTACATCTCCTTTAAGGGACTCGGACCATGGCTGTAGCCATCAGGTTGATTTCATCATAGAAGATCATATAGTTCAAACTGTCCTAAACTGGTGCACTGACTGACCAACACACTTCAACAATATTCATACAATACCTGAAATACCAATAACTAAAGCAAAACATCCCTTTACTGCAAAATCTCACATACCTGAGTCAGGGCTTTTTCCCAGGTCTTGACAGTGTTATGAGTCTCTTCTTTTTTTGTGTAATCTCCTGCTGCCCGCTGTGTGACTGGACTGTGAATGCTAGTGGAAGTTTGGGCTTTTACTGTCACTACAGAGAGGGACTGCAGTTCATTTCTAAATGTTTGTCTCTCTGGCCTGAACATTGATTTCCTCTCTGTCTGTCTTTATTGCCTTGGATCCTCTCTTTTGAATACTTCCAACACACACACACACACACACACACACACACTCTCTCTCTCTCTCTCTCTCTCTCTCTCTCTCTCCCGATCGACTATCCTCTCCCCCCTGCGGTCTTCTGATCCATATTGACTATCCATCTTAGTTTAGCTCCCTCTGTGTTCCTTATGAAACCTGTAAAGGTTGTCCCATTCTGTCCGTTCTCCTTTCCACAGTCATTTTTCACCTCATTCTTCTTTCTTTCTTTTTTCTTCTGTCTTACATGGCTGTAGGGCAACACAACTTTCATAATCATCAATCATCAGAATCTGAGTCCTCTAATGTTTAGAACATGCAGATTCTGGTCTGATCCAATAACTGTATTTGTACTCAATTCTTTTCCTACATGATGACAGTATGATGATCCTAATGTAAAGAAGAAAAATAACTGGAATCATTTACAGATTTCATCTTGGCTTCCTTCATGGATCCTGTGAGAAACTCCTGAAAATTCCAAACTCATTTTGATGAAAGTGGGTTTGGACTGTGCATCATATTTAAAAGAAGGTCATAGCCACCATAACATCATTCACTGGTTTGTGAGGTGTCACTATGAAGCCTCGAATTTGCAGTGTTGTCAGTGAATTTCAACAGTGTTGGTTAACAAAGTGTAGCAATCAGCTGTACGGCTGCATCATGTCAGTAACATAGCCAGAGTTGTGACAATCTAACCCAGAACAGTATAAAATGTCTTTATTTTGTGTTTTCTCTTTTTTAAGCCAGAATTTTAGCACCTTTCCTGTACTCACTCAGCGATCATCAACCCCCTGCAGACATGCTTAAAATTTTAGGTCATTCCTAAAGATTTAGGAGTTCCACCCTGCTGTGTTTACAGCATATCTTGATTGTGAAGATCACTTAAATAAAAGTTTTAGCCATCTCATCATCATTCATTCTCATTTGGGAGTGGCACAAATAAGTAACCACAGGCTGGTATTCGAAAAAGTGTTTGGTTTCCTTGTTGTTTTGTCGACTATTGGGGGCAGAAAAGTTTATATATTGCAATATGAGACATTTTTAAAAAAGATTAACATGGTAATGCAGCAGTTGGCACTGTTTCCTCCCGGCAAGTAGATACTGGGTCTAAACTTCCTAACTGGCCACAGGCGTAGATAGGAGTGTGGTTGCCAGGTTCTGTGATGTGTGGCATTCAGTGTTTACACCATATCTTGACCTGGAACAGGTTCCACACTCCTCTGCAACCTTAAATAAGGAAAACTGTAAAGAATGAATGGATATTGATTTATGTTCCACTGCACATTGGTTTTTGTGTTCTGGGGCGAGAACTCACTAAATATGAAATAAGGGAAGTGTTAACTTAGCATTCATAAACTGTATAGCTTTAATGTAGACAGAGATAGTTCATAATTGTTACTTAGTACAAGAAGACTAAAATACTAGGATTTCATTCACCTAAACTAAAGCTGATTAAAGATTATTGGATTTTATGTAGCATACAGAAAACAACATATTACTTTTAAGATAATTGCATTTAAAATGCTGTGAAATGCACCAACAGCACAAACCGTAGAGAGGTCCAGTTCAGTGTCTCTGATTAGTGAAGGTGAAGCAAAGCAGACACAGGTCAGCTACTGTTGCCTGTCACCTGTCCATTAAGACAGTCATGACACTAACTTTAAGCTTTACAAGAATTCAATTCAGTTTTATTTATACAGCACCAAATCACAACTACAGTCACCTCAAGGTGCTTTATATTGTAAGGTAGACCCTACAATAAAAACCCAACAATCATATGACCCCCTATGAGCAAGCACGTTGGCGACTGTGGGAAGGAAAAACTCCCTTTTCACAGGAAGAAACCTCCAACAGAACCATAAGAATCCAGATGGATGAGTCAAAATAAACAAAAACCTGCCATTGTACAGGTGTTATGAACAGCAAACCCATCTACAGATCTACAGAGGTGAAAATGATTTTTTTTCTGTACCATAATGTGAACATGCTTTTTTGATACTGTAAACTATAGCATTTTATGACCTTTGAAACCCGACGAGGAAGTGGCAGTTCTCAGTCTTGGGATGGGTGTTAAAGTCAGAGAAGAGAGATATCCCAAATCCAACAGCAAAGCTGGATTCCACATAACATGGGTGATGTGAGGGTGGTTGCTTGGATCATAATGATTTGGTCCCTGGGCAGATCTGGCCCCTAAAATGATTATTTATAACAGATCATTTTCATTTATTTATTTATTTTAAGTAATGTATTCACTTATTTTCAGGAACGTGGGCACATCTGAAGGATTAAGAATTTTTTGCAACCCCTGCTGTTCAGCTCTGATCTGACCTGATTTTCCCCATTTAGATCTGAGGCACATTTAGACACGAAAATGCCCCATCCTGTGACTTTTGACTTAAGTCACAAGAATAACTCAGTCACACCTGTTCTCTCAGCCTAAAGCCTCTATACCATTTTCACTGAGGACACCGGAAACTAACAGCTCTGTAAAACCTCAAGAAACGTTTGAAACTCCAATATGTGACAAAATGTTCCTTCACTGATTAAATCTCCAAAAAAAAAAAAAAAAAAAAAAAAAAAACCCAACCATCAGCATCATGATCAGAGCTGCATTCGCTACAAACACTAGTGTGTAAAAAAAAAACAGCCAGTCCTCGCATCCTCCTTCTTTCCAACCCATCACTCTCTCTCGCTCTCGCTCTCTCCAATCACGGGCTTCGTCACAATCTGCACGAGCACCGCTGCAAAAAGTTGTTTTTCCAGAGGTAAGACTATAATTAATACACGTTATTATTCAAACGACAGTCTTATGTCTTATGTAATACCATATGTATTACCTTGATTATATGACAGCGCGTCAATCCGATCGGCTTAGACCGTAGAAGAGCGCGCCACATGCAAGCATTGTACTCTGGATAAAATCGTGTGGCAGCGATCGCGCGTCGTTCTGTACGCGTGTTTACAAGGAAACGTTTAAAGGAGCTTTTGCAGAATAAAGTGTCACATTAAAGGTAAAAGTAACTAAAGGAGAGCCGAGGAACAGGACGTTTTTCAAGGTAAGACAGCCACGATGAAAGCGAGGGAAGAGAAAATAGTGAATAGTGTGGAAACAAGATCAAGGATGAGATAAAGCAAACTTATAGGTATGTAGAGGGAACGGACTAAATGCTCGACTCAGTCCTTTATAAACAGTCTCTGAGTGTAAGGGATTTATTTTCATCAGCAGAAAATTTCACTTTTATTTCAAATAGACCCATCACAGCTTGACTGATATGTTTCTGCTGTGCTTTGTTAGAGAACAATGTGTTTTATGGCATGTGTAGGATCCGCTGTGCAGGGGGATATACAGAGTGTGGGCTCTCTGGGCAGGAGTCTGGATTTAGATTTCTCTGTCTGAGTATCGAATATTACTCAAGGACGCCAAGTGATCGGGCTCCCCGCATATTAAGTTTCACTTTGCTCCAGCTGGACTTTTTGGTCAATATTAGAATTTAACATTTTTTATTTTCTAAAAGTAAGTTGAACATCATAGTACATAACTCTCTCAAAGCACCAATTTTACTCTAACACTCCTATAAACCAATGCCAGACTTTATGTTTATAAAATAGGAAAATGGGAGTTTGTGTGATTGCATATGGAATTAAGGGCAGGCAGAAAATCATGTCTACAAAGGTAAAATAGTGGCAAAAGCCAGTATATCTGTTATTTGCTTGTAATAATGTGGTGGTGTGTTGTGTGAAATGCAAACAAAAACAAATAAAAACAGACAGGGAGCGAGATTGGAAGAACGAATACTAATTTCTGCAAAGTGCGTCTATTAAATAAGCATTAGGCTGTAAAGACATACGTGTGTGTACAGTATAATAATTATGTAATATATACACAGTAATTGTATGCTGATTTTTCCCCGGACTTGAACTTGATGGTTTGAGATGGTTGCTCCCCTCTGTTGCTGTCATAATCATGACCATTGCTCCAGTGAGCTGCTACAGTTTGTCCACGTTCTTCTTCTGTTCTGTATTCATAGCAGGATTCCCACCATTGCTTGTGTTCCTGATGCAGAGTGTGGCTGATGTGTCCTTGAACTTTCCTCCTCTGTGTTTGTGCTGCCGCCGGCGAGCCCTTTCAACATGTGTTTATCCATGTTGTGCTGCTACTGGAGGAGGCGCCCTCCTAATGCACGCTGTCAGTCTGAAAAAGCAGGTTTATATTCAGGGTTCTGAGTACAAAATAACAATGTCTGATGTTCCTATTTGTGTTTTGATTGCTGTTACTGATTGCAGGCCTCCCAGGGGTCCTGCAGGGCTTTCAAAGGGGGTTAAAAAAAGAAGCAATCAAGATGAATGCTGAGTGCAGTGCACTTCTTCTAATGACCACTAGATGGGCTGTTCATAAACTCACATTGTATTACAGTTTTGATAATACTCTGTCATTTGAAAAGAAGGACAGATTCTGTGGTCTATATACCAAATGTATTTTTGCAGATGAATTTGATATTGACTAAAAAAGGTCGCCTGCAATTTCTATCATGCTGCAATAATTCTGCAATTTACCATTAAATCAGCATGTTTACCTGATGCAGACCTAGATGCAGCTTTCTTATCTTATATGCATAAAAAAAAAACAGGAATAATAATCACTAGTATTTTTTTTATTTCACAGACATCCCTAATACTCCACTGTAGGATTTAAATAGATTTTAAAAAGCAAGGGAAAATCAAGGGCTTCATGTACATTAGCTACGTTTCTGGTTATAGATGTTTACATTTCTTGCAATAAAAAAGCTAAACTCATACAAATATTTTACAATAACCTTATAATTTACAGTTTTTGCAATTATTCAAACCGTTCATCTGATTATGTCCCAAAGATCAATATTCATGCTTTTAATGTTTGCAACAGTGACAAGAACTTATCTTCACAAAATGTTACTTCTGGCTAGATGCTTGAAAGATAAGGTGTACAGAGAGGTGCTATTTGGGAGCCTCGCATATCAGCTTGTGCTCATCTGTGAGCATGAAAGCCCGATTCATGGTTCAGGTGTTCTCTTTAGGAATCCAAGAATGAGAGCATAGCATGTAGGTGCTTTTTCTTGTTCTAGGCAGAAGAGATGTTTAAACGCTGCATGATCAACATTCACACCTTGGCGTTTTCACGAGGACTTTGACTGCAAGTTTAAAGGGTTTCGTGAGCCAAAAATTGTGAGAAGCGATACTAAATTTTTCCTTGTCATTCCCTGGTGGGGGCAGAGGTGTTGAAGAGCTTTAGAGTGTTCTGTACAGTTTTGTCTGGATGGGCTCTTTGCTTACTTGCTGCCACAAAAAAGCTTTGATTTCTGCCGATAATCTTGACTCACTACTTTATGTTAACTTAGAAGAGCCCCTGTAAGCAGCAAAGCCCATGCAGTTTCTTTTGGTAGAGGAAAGAGATTCTTGATACTGAAGAAGCTTCTCGGATGAGAGGTGAAACGTCTTCAAGCAACTCAAAGAAGTCCAGACGCTTTTCTTTCCAAGCTCCTTAGATTTTCGCATCTTAGTCACTGCAGTCAGACCAGTGGATGCAGCTTTGTACTGGTAACGTGTGTTCCCATAACAATGCCAGACAAAGTCATCTGTTTAAAAGACAGACATAGTCTTTTAATTAGCATGTTCACCAACACGATCTTGGTGTTTTCAAACCAGATGTGACGAGCAAGAGATGGATCTGTCTATGCTGGTTAATGACTTGTATGTCACATGTTCTTAACCAATGAGCATGCCCTGGATAATCTTCTGACTTAAAGTGACCAAAATGGACTTAATGTTTTATTCACTGTGACCCAAAACGAGTGACTGAGATCGTGAACTCGTTAGGAAAGTGTTTACAGATGTCAAGTGCCTCCTCCACCCCAGTGGCCATTAAAAGAAATATAGTTCAAGACATTTCACCAGTGGAGAGACCCAGGAGCTACGTCTTTCTCTTATACTGTCTTTTGGGCAGGGTTACAGGGGGGCTGGAGCCTATCCCAGCTACCATGTGGGGTACACCCTGGACAGGTTGCCAGTCTGACGCAGGGCTAACACAGATAGACAGACAACCATTCACACTCACACCTATGAACATGTGAACCTAACCTCACTAACCGCATGCCTTTGGACTGTGAGTGGACTGGAGCACCTGGAGAAAACCCACACAAACATGCAAACTCCACACAGTAAGGCCCCAGACACGTGGTGGAGTCGACCTCAGAACCTTCGTGCTGTGCAGTGCTAACTGTCACACCATCGTCCTGCCCGTGTTCTTTAAGTCAAATTTAAAAAATATCAGGAACAGAGCACAGGTTTTGGAGTTACAAATCAAATACTTTGATACTAGACTTACTAGCCATTCATAAGATCATATTATATATCACCTTTCTAGTATATGTAGATATGCGTGAGGAATGCCAGTGCTGTGTTAGAAGTTGTTTTCAGATAAATGTTAACAACTGTTGTATCTGAACAGAGGACCAGTGTTGTCATTTTCTTGGGAGTGTTCAAATGGGGATTTTTTTTTTGGTCAGATGTGCCTCAAGATGTGCTGCTGACTTGAAACAACTCAGCATCCCCTGCTGTGCTGCTGCAGATGTCTCTCATGTGGATTTTAGGTGCCCTGCAGTTTTTGGCAACAGCTTGCATTAAAAAAGCAAAAAAAAAAGAAGCAAAACCTGACCCAGTGTCAGTGCCGATGGGGATTTTCACTTCAGGAAGACTCTGCTTGTTGAAATCTAAGGATGTCAGTTCAAGCAGGAAAGCAGCTGCTCTGCCGAAGCGCCCTCGGGCAAGGCATCGCATCTTTCCTCGCTCAGGATCTTTCGGCTTTGAAAGATCCGCTGTATTGTGCATTTCAAAACATGACACAGTGTTAAGCGCGCGTGATTAAGCCGTCGCACCAACGGGAAGAAAGTTGGATGGATGAAACATGCCGAGACACTGTGACCACTGCGCTACTGACTCACACGTCTGTCATCTCTCTTGTGAATGTTCATTCCTCTTGTACTGTATGCAGTCATGTATGACCACCGCGTACCTACACGTGTGCGTTGCTTTCGATGGTGTGTGACATCCCAGCCCCTCTGCACACCAGTGGAATTCAGGGACTTCTTTTTCTTTTTTTTTTATCTCAGCAAAATCCTCTCAGCTGTTACATCCAGTCCTCTACTCCACCAACACACACATAAAACACACGCATACACACACGCACACTCGCCAGCTCCACCGTAGACTTTGGAATTCACTGTTGCCATGGCAATGGAATAGAGCACGCTCTCTCGCATTGCCTGTTCTTTTCTATTGCTTTATCTCCCCCCTCTCTCTCGCTCTTCCTCTCTCTCTCTATGTGGAGGCAAACCCGCTTCTCTTGTTTGACATGGGGCTTGTTTTTTGCCGCCGGCATCAGGTTTTGAATGTTTGTTTGTTTATTTGTTTGTTTGTTTTTCAATGACACATGATGCTCATATAGAAAATATGTTTGTGCGGAAGATGTTTCTGTACAGGAGCATCCCCTGCTCTCAAGACTCATGTCACGTTCGTTAATCAAATCCCCCATCTTCCCCACCCCACCTCTCATCTTCTCATCTTCTTCTCTCCTTTCTCTCCCGCATCTTCTCCTGTCCTTTTACTTCCATCCTTCTCTTTCAGTCTTTTCTCTCACTCTCTCTCTCTCTCTCTCTCTCATCTGCTCTTTACCCCCCTCCCCTCCCCTCCACCTCTTTCTTGCTTCTCTCAGTAGCTAAGATGACTGCCATGACAATTCAATGAGAAGAGAGGACACAAAGTGAAGTATCCCCTACTTGCTGAAAAGGAGCGACAGAGCGCTCAAGGTAAAAGGAGAAGAGGGGGGAAACGCACGAGAAGAAAAGGCAGAAGATTTAAAAAGAAACTATTAGGAAGAAAAGAACTGGCAGAAGAAGAGCCAGGAAAGAGGCAGGGGCGAGAAAGCGGATAAACGGTGGATGGAGGCGGCTCGGACCGGGGCTACGGAGAGCTCTTCACTGACGAAGAAGAAGAACAGCAGCAGCAGCAGCAGCAGCAGCAGGGGGGAGAGGAGATGGAGGCGAAAGGGAGAAACATGCCCTCAGGTAACACTTACACACACACACACACACACACACACAAGAACAGGCAAATGTGCGTGTGTTCATACACACACAAACAACCAGATGCACATGTGGATTCTGATGTGCATGAACATGACACCCATGTACATGCACATTCAAGGAATAAGACACACAAACCAGCCTGGATCAGTACAGTCATGCAGGAAACCACCCTCACACACACACACACACAAGTACAGATGTGTGCAGATGTCTGGATTCAAAAGGCGAGTAGCTTCGATTAATCTGTGCTGGCATTTGTGTAACCAAGCTAAATGTTTGTTCATATTAGGATCAGGGATGACTGAGGGGATTGCTGACATATGAGAAGCTGAGAAAATCCATGCTGCTAAACACAAATTTCATGAATGAACTACACAGCATTTGAAATATTGAAATGATCCATCTGACATTTGACAGTAATTTTAATTTAACAAAGTAACCTTACTTTGGTCTAATGCCAGAGCCAGTCAGGGTCAAGCAAAGCAAGAATACACAGGCTTGTGTCACTGGATGCAACACAGTTTTTTTATATGTTGAAATATAATTTTTTTTAAGTGACAATGTTACCTGAACTGCCTTTAGCTCTGCAATCTAAATAATGTCTTTTTTATTATTTTTATTTTTTACTACTAAAGTATTTGTAGGGAAAACTGCACAGGCATAAAGCTAGAGTTTGACAAACATGTTTGATCATCCAGGTGGAAACAGTTCATTCACCAAGCCAAACTGGTTATAATGTGAAAAAGACGTATTTATAGATCTTTACTTAATCGGAAGCTTTCAGATGTCCAGGAAAAAAATGTGTAAATGACAAGTGTGAATATAGAGGAAACCTCTTCCTGCCAGGTTGCTATGTCAGTGTGCTGCGCTCGCAATCTTTCATTCATTTTAGCATCAATCGTCTTATTTAACACAAACAAAAAGTTTAATTTTGAAAGCCAAGACATTTTCATATAAACCACAGAGGGTATCTTCTTATATATTAAAGGATTGAATGCAAGTTATAGAGGCCCAAGATTGTTTTTTGATATTGATACGAAGTTTCAAAACTCAGTAAGTTTTTTTAGGATTTTTTTTTTAATTTAATTGATACCAATGCCTAAACTGATAATTGGTAATTGTCTTTTTTGTTTTGTTTTTTTGAATAATGATTTTAAAATGTAAATTCATTGTAAATATAAACTGTATTAAAAAGCTACTTAACTATTAGTAAATATTACCAATATTGGTTACTAATTGTTAATATTTTTTAATTACATTGTTATCACATTGTGTAATATGTCGTAATAACTTTTTAATGTATTTTATCCGACTCAGTAATAGACTGTAAAAATGTCATTTTGAAGACACTTGTATACAAAACATTTCATACAACATCATGAAGTAATCAATGCCAAGCTGAGAGAACGAGGACATGGACCACAGTCTCCAGGTACCTCCCACCTCACTCTCAAAAACAATTATCATATATCCATAAAATTTCAACTTTATTGTAACCATTTAAATTATGTTTACACATGAATCAGACTTTATTCGTTAGGCATTTATAAATTAGGTGTAACTTTTCAGTAACCATCTAGAAAGTTCTGATGTAGCAAGACAGCCAAAGTTGATGACCAAGTGCACAAAACAACCAAACAATGACAAAGTCAAGAACAACTTTTTCAAATGTTTGTTATCTTAAATACCCTTCGTGTATTTAACGTTGTGCATCACTTTCAGGGTCAAAGTATCAATAGTTTATTGAACAGCTTGATGCACAAACTACCAAAAACGATTGCACTCATTTACACCAGGTCATCATCCAGCAAACGCCTCGTCTATGAGGGGGAAACCCCCACTCAGGACAGCCACGCTTGCCCAGGGGTGTGACCTTGCCAGTCACCCAGTGAAATTTGCCCCTTTAGTGATGCTGGCAAATGATCCATCTCCAGCCGTGTGGATTGTGACTAAGCAGATTTCTTGTAAATCTAGTGGAGTTTTTCTCAGAAGTTTAATGATGTACAAAGGCGCTACAAGCAAGTATATAATTGTAGTAATTCAAAGAGCAGACATAGTTTAACATCTTCAGGTAATTCAATTCAAGTCAATATTGTTTTTATACAGTACCAAATCACAACAGTTGCCTCAGGGCGCTTTATATCATAAGGTAAAGACTCTACAGTAATATAATATCTGGATGTAGAAGGTAAAATATTTTAGAAAATATAAAAAAGTAATGACAATTTTGAACATTAGCCTTGTTTTTACATACTGCTTCACAATTTCTTACAAACTAATTACTAAATAATATTTTATTGCTTAAGAGTAAAGTTTTATTAATTGTTTGTAATTTCTTGTTTGTTTATTTGTTCCAAAGAAACATTGAAATCCTCCCTTTAACCGATTCACTTAACTCTTTACTCTCTATTACACTATCTTTGAAAATGTAAATAAAATGTTTTCAGTTTATGACTATCATTCAGCAAAGGCAATATGGGCAGATAGCAATATTGGGCCTTTTTATAAATACACGTGTACTGAATAATTATTCTGATTTGTACTGATTTCTTTAAGTAAAATGAAACAGGAAACACTGCGATGCTGGATATTAGCATCACGTTTATAATGTTTATAATGTATTTTTGAACAATTCCTTTCAACTAATCATTAAAAACATGTGACACAATTTAAAAATCAGTGTTAGGCTTTAAACTTATAATGCAAATACAAAATAAAACAATGTCTAATGAGTACGGCATCCAGTGAATAAAAATTTGACAATTTAGTGCAAATTAAAAATTTATTGGTTTTTGTTGGATTGTTATTGCCGCCCCAGTGCCGTGATGTCTTTATGACGCTTACCTTGTGCATATTCAAGCAGGCGGGTCACTTTCGGGGTTAAAATATCAACGATCTCTGTTATTTTTGGGACGTTTGTTGCCATGGAAACCCCCCCGCAGGACAGCTGAATTAGTCAACTAGTTTAAAAGCCCTCAGCGGATTTCGTATTCTCTGTGTGATCGATTGTTTACATTAACCTCTTGTTTGAGATGAATAGAAGCCAAACCTGAAGCGTTGCAGAATCCCAGCACTTTCTCCATTTCAGCTGAAATGGTTAAAATCTGACAGGGGAGCCCCACAGAGGCAGGAACCCTGCTTCCATCCACTTTCATTTATGTTTCCTGAAGCACGACAGATGTGTTGTATCTCAATTTTCCTCTTGTCATCCCTCTCACTGTCCACCTCTGAGCTCAGATTTGTATCTCTTCTCTCCTCTCCACTTGTCTACTTCCCATCTCCTCAGCCACTCTTGTTGTCGCTTATTATAAAAAAAAGTGCACAAAGACTTCTATCTTGCTCTTCGTCTGCATTTGCCCTTTTGTTCTGCACATATTTTCCTCAGATGATCTTCTCATTAACCTAAAAAGACAATTCCTTTCCTCAGGCCTCCTCCAAACCTTGCTCATATTAATACCTTTTATTGTGATTTTCTCTGGAAGTGGTTTGTAGAAAAAGGTCAGAATTTAAATATGACTAGCTCCTGAGATCCCCCGCAGATGTATGAAATGAAGCACTGTCAAACATTATTTTAATTTCTTACCCCATGTATTTGGGTCAATTTTACCTTTCTGTGTTCAGTTTTGGAACAATATTTGTACTTTTGTATTTCCGTTGATTCAGTGAGGTTGGTATTTTGTTCTTAGCTGGTTGCCTGCTGCCAACATTTTTTAACTGCTTCAGGCTGCATGTGTGTGGTTTTTTGATTAAAAATTGCTCCAGTGTGCTCACACAGAATCCAACAGAAAGAGTAAACCCCGTCAGCAGCTCTCACAGGTCCCGTACAGTGGCCCATGAGGGACAGTATTTCTATTAATACATAAATATATTTGACAGTTCAGTGTATGAATTATGAATTACCTGTTTTAGCTTCTCGTTTTAATTTTCATAGGCATTGAGGGTATATTTGAACCACTGAATTGTGATGGAATTAAATGGCTTATACAAGACTGCAGCCATTTGAACATTTGAACACTTAACAGTGGGATTGAACTTTGTATTTTTGGTGTAATTTTGTAATGTTTTTTATGATGACTTTCTAACATACCCTAAGCTGTTTCTTAATTGTTTCTCTCTCAAATAAGAATAAAGGCAAATTTCCAAAAACAAGACCTTACATCATAAAAGTTATGGATATTAAAAGTCATCAGTTTCAATGTCTATATCAGCTACCGTAAGATCAGGAAGTCATTAAAACAGAGAATTGTATAAAAGGTAGAGACTGTATATAAACAATGACTGTAGCCACCATGACATCACCCACGGGTTTGGATTGTATTTTTAACTCGAGTATTTTAACTGTTGCCATGTTGGTTCTAGAGCCAGGAGTTACCATATTTGGACAAGAGCATATATGCTATCAGGTAACACTAGTATTGGACAAATGCATGGCGTTAGAGTAGTAGTATTACTAAATTTATAGTTGCAATCCTTTATTTTAGTACTGTTGGGTAACTTATCCTATAAGCAAGGCATTTATATTAACAGGAAAATATTCATGGCTCTGCCTGCATCCCAATAATGTCATCGTTTAAACTTGATTAGTATTATGTGTCAGCCCTGCCTTCTCCAGACGGCTGATTTTATTTTCTGTGTTCTTGTCAGACATCAGTTTCCTTCCCCGCCCAGCCATGGTGTGGTGTGAGCGAGGGATCCAGGTGCTGTTGACCACCATGGGAGCTTTTGCAGCTTTTGCACTGATGACAGTGGCTATTGGGACTGACTACTGGCTGTACGCCCGGGCCTTCATCTGCAACAGCACAGCCAACTCATCACAGGAGGACTCCAACAATAAGGACAAGAAGGATCCTGGGGCGCTCACCCACTCTGGCCTCTGGAGGATTTGCTGCCTGGAAGGTACAGTTGGTTGTGTGTCTGTTTGCATATTTGAGACTGTGCGATGCTTTCAGTGCGCTGTGGGATGAATTTTGGTGTGTTTCTCATGTGTTTGTCACCAGAGGGTCTTTGTGAGGTCAGTGTGCTCATGAGACATAAATAGGTGTCTTGTTCAGTAACCCAGCCACATCCACCCACAGTATCTATGTTGCTCTACTTTTCTCTATTTTATTCATCAGTACATTAGCATTTTGTAATTTGTATAAAGCCGTAGTAGCATATGACTGGTAAGGTGCAAGGTGCAAGAATTAGAAGTTGCTGCCTGCTTGGCTTGATTATAATGACATTTATACTATAAATAATATAGCCACATTTTATTGCATTACATCTGTTGAACAAATTACATCTATAGACCCTAACTGCAGTTTGGTTTCTGCTCGAGTGAATAAAGCTCCACAGTTTGGACCACAGACAAAACAATTTGGTCCGGGGTGTGCAGGCCGTGTAGGACATGCTATTAACCTGCTTCAGCCACACATGTTGTACACCTCCACCCCACCTCTTCTTTTATGCTCTGTCTGACTCGATCAATATATCTGTTTTTACTGGTGCTGTTCTACTCTCTTCTGAACGGCGCTCTCACTGCTGCTCTAACTGTCTTCATGTAGGCTCATGGAAGTGCAGCAAAGTCCCAGAACAAAACTGCCAAATATAATCGCCTTCTGATGGAAATAGCAATCTTCTGTTGACTAAAGTATTAAATTTGTAATTAATAAAAAAAACCGATTAGATTAACGATTAAATTTTTTGTTTTGATTTAGGCAGAAAAAGCACCCTCGTCACAGTTCAGGGAAGACTGTTGTTTTGATAATAAACTCTTCATTTTAAGTCAAAGCTGGCTATTCCCATATTAAAGCAGAGCATGACGCCAGTGCCTGAACATAATTATAACAACATTTTAAATGTAGTAATCTAGATTGTGTGTTAAGATGCAGTTGCAAGGCTATAAAGTTCCCGCTCATTTACATTGTGTGAATATAGTGGATGTAGAAGCTATTACTGTATGCTATAGGATGCTCATGAATGTAACCAGAGACCACAGAGCATCCTGTTGTCACCTGTTCACAGTGCAGAACACCGATAACACCAATGTCAGATTATCTGAGATATTAAGAGATGAGCAGCTGTTGCTGTGCCTACAATGGATAATATTTTATTTAAATATGATAGCAATGAAAATAAAAAGTATTTGTGTTTTTCACATTTCAGATTCTACACATCCTAAACCTTCAATATAAAAGTCATTATATTATCAAGTCAGTAAATGCCTTCTTTCATTTTCAGGTTTAAGTGTAATGTTCAAAAAGCAACAGACAAGAATTAAAAGGCCAAACCGTCTCAGAGCATCTTTGTAGCAGGAACTCACATCTGACGTGGAAGTTTAGGAGCTGTTTTAGCTATTTTGTCTTGTCAGATGCGTCAGAGGAACTGCTTTTGTTGCTGCCTTGCATATTTTTTTCTTCTTTCTTTGAAGATAGCAAGCAGATTTCTACCAGTGTATTGACAGCTGGGTTCATTTGTGTATTTTCTTCTCTTTTTAACCGAGTTCCTGATACTTTGCATGTTAATAATTTAATATGGTCTGCCCTGAAAAGGTATAAATTTGCTTAAGGCTTTTTATGACTTCTTTCTGTTTTTGTGTGTGTGAAATGAGCTTTTTACTGCTTTTACCCTCCAGGTATCTCTTTTTCTCTCCTGATGTTAATTTTGTCCATGCAATGCACAAATACCTGTCAAGGTAAACAACCGTTGTGTGTCAAGAAGAAACACAAGCTTATAAAACAGTTTGTACACCAGGAGGGCTGCTGGGCTGCTGTCTTTAGTAATAATATGGAGGAATATTTTTAGCATCTTAGCCTGGCACACAATTAACACCAAGGCCCCAGAACAATGCGCCGTATAGGCAGGAGGAAAACGATACATAGTGCTTGTGTTTCAGAGAAAATTACAGCTTACAACTGTTGATTTTCTTTTTTTCTTGGTTGAACCCAGACAATAAATCATATAAATGCAAATAGCTGCCCCACCCCCCATCATTATTATTTTCTGGCCTATAAAGGGTGATTGTTAAAATTATCCAACCATCCAATGCCAGTCCAAAAACAGCAACTATGCTGCACAAACCTTTTGCTGTTATTTTGGCTTAAAGTACACAAAACCCCTACACAATAATACAATACTATTCCACTTTATTTTCATAGTACCAATTAACAGCAACAGTCACCACAAGGGGATTTATATATTAAAGTAAAGATCCTATAATATTAGAAAGAAACCCCAACAGCCACATGAACACATGAACAAGCACTTGGTGACAGTGGGAAGGAAAATCTACCTTTAAACAGCAAGAAACCTCCAGCAGAATCAAGCTTGGAGAGGGGGTCCACAATTCCCTATGAAAGGTTTGGGGTGAGGGGGAAAGAGAATAAGAAGAAAACATAGCAATGTATAGGTAGCATATGTGACATGACTCAAGTTATGGTTTTGCTTTTTTTTTGTTGTTGTTGTTGCAAACATTTAGGGCATATGTCTTTTGCTGTGTCATTGGGCCATTTGTCTTAATATCTCTCACCTTTGTGATCTTCTTGATTTTCATTTCTCTCTCACTCTATTCATGCATATATATACATGTATCTATATATTTATATCTATATATTTATATCTTTATCTATCTATCTTTATATATAGATATATAGATATATATCTATATATATTAACCTTTTTCTTCCTGGTTTGTCCCCATTTTTTAAAATTTCTTTTTTCTTCTTCTTTTTTGTTCCCATGTCTGTCTTCCTCTTTTCTGGCTTTTACCTTTGTTATTTACTGTTTTGGTGCATTCTGTCTTTATGTCTTCGTGGGATTTCTTCTTTGACCTTCATCATCTTCTCCCCCTCTTCTTCTTCTCTGTCTTTTTTCAGGTTTGAAGAGGGGTGTGTGTTCCCAGATCAATCATTTCCCAGACGACGCAGACTATGACCAAGATGCTGCAGAGTATCTGCTGCGTGAGTGACACACACACACACACATACACACACTGTCTTAGAAATACACAATGCACACAAACATGAAGAGAGACATTAGATAACCATACACTAGCAAACAGAACTGCACACACTACAGTCTCCATCACATGCGGATAGAAAGGACAGAAGGGGATGGTGGGCGGATATCAATGCACGGATGTCAGATTCAAGCGAAGCGTTCCTGAAGGTGTGTGTAAGTGTCTGTACAGAGTGTGCATGTGTGTATAAATGCCCAGGTGCATGGGGTTGGGAGTCTGGGGGTGTGCAGAAAGCTGCTGTTTTTTTTCACAGAGGAATTGAAAGAACAGCCTTCACTAATGGATTATTTTCAGCTCAGGATTCTGGTTTCACATCCTGCCTCCATTGTGATAGCAGATTCTGCTTCGCACAGCCTGAACCTTTTTGGTTTACAACGCATATGTTCCAGCTTTATACGTTATGTAAAGACATCTATTTCTGTGACAGGTGCAGTGATACTATCTGAAATTCTCCTGTCTGCTTTTCTGCACTTCACAGTCTTTTTTATTCGTTTTTTAATAATTGAAACTATTTTAAATTTAGAGTGAATGACAGTCCTGAGAGATATTAGATGGGTTTGTTTTCTTTAGTTTCATCTAAGTTTCAATAACAACCCTATTTAATGAGAAAGGCCTGAGATGCTGGCCTGCCACAGGCTGGCGACCTGTCCAGGGTGTACACCGCCTCTCGCCCTGTGGTAGCTGGCATAGAGATTGATGGATAGCCATTTGAGTGCAGTGAAGTCATTGTCATGTTCAAGATGATTTGAGCTTTGTGACCTTGTGCATTATTGTGCTGGAAGCAGCAGTCAGAAGATGGGTACAGTGTGGTCCTAAAGAAGTGGACATGGTCAGCAATCATCCTCCGATAGATGGTGGTGTTGAAATTAGGCTTAGTTGGTACAAAGTGTCCATTTCCTGTTTGTAGCTGACAGCAGTGGCACCCAGTGTGGCCTTCTGCTGCTGTTTCAAGGTTGTGTGTCAGATATGCTCTGCTGCATACCTGGGTTTTAGCGAGTGGTTATTTGAATTACTCAGCTCACCTTTTCACCCAGAGATCTGCTGCTCACACCTCATCTTTGAGATTGTCGTGTGGGAAAATCCCAAATGACCAGCAGTTTCTCAAAAGTTCAAACCAGCCCATCTGGAGCCAATAATCATGAAATATTCTTGTGGTATGTGTGTCACTGATTAGATATTTGTATTAACAAGCAGCTGATACATAACGTGGCCAGTGAGTTTAATTTATTTTACCCAGAAACACAGCTCAACCAGTGAAATTGTGTCTGTGGCCAAAAAAGAGGTTATATCATGCTTATGTAGCAGATGGTGAGCTGATGGCGTTTTTTCCTTAAAAAATAGCAGTCTACACAGATTCTCTTAGAAATATTGGACTTATTATTGCAACAAAACCATCAACCATCAAATGTGGCTATACTGGCGCCTAAGAAATGATCTTGTTTTAAAAACATGTGTCTGGAGTTGAAGGTTTAAGGGATTTAACTGTGTAACGTTGAGGTATGGCGACTTCAGTTTTGCAGTTGTTTCACATCTGTCACTCCCTGATTCTGTTTCTTTTTACTGGCTTTTTACTTTCACTCGCTGATTTGGAACAATTACTTATTAGGTTTAGGAAAAGAGTGTGATTGGAATTAAAAGGGTTAAGCACCAACTCTTTAATTAGCTGGAAAAACCCAAAGGCATATATCTGTTTGGTTGTTTTTAGACAATATTTGATTGGTTGTGTGTTTAGTTTTGAAATGGTTGTAATCAGAGAGCCACACATTAACTCCATGCACACAGACAACCACCAGTGTTTTCAAAGTAAAACACAATTTATATTCTTACTTGTGTTTCTCTTTTCATATCATCCTAGTGTATCTGTTGTTTCCCTGTCTCCACCTGTCTTTGTCTTTCTTTATCCCCTTTTATTTAGTTTTGCCTGTTTTTGTTTCCTTTTGTTGAGTCCACTCACCACCATTACTGCAGGTACATTTTTGTCTTGTTTCATTGTGTGTTGCATGATGATTTTATTTATTTATTTATTTATTTTTTGAATGTCATGAGGAACAACAATCATCCCTTTGCCCTTTTAATGTCAGGCATTTCAGCATGTTCAGAAAGTATTTACTGTTAGTTTTTAGAATCGTTAGCAATTCAGTTTACACTTAGTTAGTTGGTATCATTAACACTAATTTTCATGCAAAATGAAATATCAATAGTTTACATTCATTTCTAACAAATAGAACTATATGCATGAGCCGTTATGCAATTGCAGGTTTGCAAAAATCGCACCAACAATTTATCATAATCCATGTTTTTTTCCCAAAGAGGTGAACGTTGCTCACATGTGCGTTTGACTTGTTAAAAAAATGAGACGTGAAATTTAACGTGCATGTCTGACAGAAGCTTCTGTGAATGAATGGTTATCACAGCATTTTTCTTTTACCTTCAGCTCAGAGGCAAAGCTTTAGAAGTCACCTTGAAAATGTGAAAGCTCTGCTTTTCCACATATTCCTGCCTGAGATGGAGCTTTTCATCTTCTATAACGTCTCTCTGTTATCACTTCTGTTTATAGCTATGAAGCATCTGCAGAAGGATATGCTGAAAAGGATTTTTATATAATTCGGCCTTTTCCAGCAAAATTGCCGATTGTGCACTCTTGCTGAGGAGCTGTGGCTACTGTATTTGTAACAAAGAATTATTCATTAAGTTTCAATTTACAGTGTAAAAATCATCATGTTCCCCATAACTTTTATTATCTCACATTTTGAAAAGAAAAAAATAGCTTTCTTCTCTAGTTTTAAGACGACATGCCATCTAACTATTTTTATTTAGTCTTGGAAAAACTCGGGGACTCGAAAGGCATTATGTGCCATATAAAATATAATGTAGGAAACATATAAAAAGACATCTGCTGTTCCACAGCCAATTTGTAGTGTCAGCTGTGCCAAGCCTTGGTAACACTTTTATTCCTCAGAAGTGTCACAAGGCTGTTAACTTTGCACCTTCAAGTGGTGTTGAACCTCAAGAAGAAAACGCATTAATGAACCACTATTAGAAAAGTACAGACTCAGTCGTATATCAGATTCAAGTGCACAGACTGTAAACAGCAGCACTGCAGCCAAAACAATGATGCTCTCATCTGCTGTCTCGTGCAGGTGTGGTGAGAGCTTCCAGCATCTTCCCCATCCTCAGTGCCATATTGCTTCTTTTGGGTGGAGTGTGTGTCGCTTCCAGCGGATTCTATAAAAGCAAAAGGAACATTATTCTCGGTGGTGGGATTCTCTTTGTAGCTGCAGGTAAGACTGCAGCTTTACTGTGGTTTGGGAAAAGAAATCTATATTTCCAGTCAGAGTTTGAAAAGAAGATTTTGTTTGAAGGTATGTTTGCTACATTTTTTATTAACACTAAAATGGGCAGTTTGTATTTTACCCCGGCTGACTTTGTAATCCCTAACAGATACCGTGTCCTTAAAATCTCTGTATTCTGTTACTAAAAAGAATTTCTGAACACTTAGATGCTTCTTTTTTTATTATATTCATGTAGCATGAGCCATGAAACACGACCTAGCATATACATTATACAGCTTAAGATAATCTGCAGTGCCCATGCCAGGATGAACCTATATCTATCAGTCGTAGAGTTAGATTAATCTCCTTATGTATGATGTGCAGATTGACTGTCATACTGTGCATGCCTCTTCTCAGTGTAATTGAGAGGAAGCACTTCCAGAAAGCCTGTCTGCAAAACAATTTAATGAACCAGCAGGTTAATTTGACTCAGAGGAGCACTTGTATCTCTCTTGTATCTTTCTTTAGGCCTCAGCAACATCATTGGAGTGATCGTGTACATCTCAGCAGCACTGAGCGACATCTCCCCCAAGAAGGATGAGGATAAGAAGTGGCATTATTCCTACGGCTGGTCATTCTACTTTGGCGGTCTGTCCTTCATCCTGGCCGAGATGGTCGGCGTGCTCGCTGTCAATATCTACATCGAGAAGAACAAGGAGCTCCGTTGCCGCTCTCGCACTGACCTCTTCAAGAGCACAACGCACGCCATGCTTCGTCTGCCCAGCTACCGTTTCAGACGGCGCTCGCGCTCCAGCTCACGCTCCACTGACCCGCCGCGTTCGCAGGAGACCTCGCCCGTTGGAGCTTCCAAGACCTTCAGCTTGCCACCATCTGCACCGCCATTCTCTGTGGCCACTCTGCCCAACCCCCACCACACCAGCAGCAGTGGGAGCGGAGGAGGTGGAGACATCTCCATGTACACCCTCTCAAGGGACTCCAAGCTAGGCAGCCTCGGAGGAGGTGCCCCACCTCTCTATGGCACGGTGGACCGTGCCACGCTCTACCAGCTCCACAACTACTTCCCAAAAGATTCCAGTGGCAGTGGCAGTGGCAGCGGTGGAGGAGGAGGAGGAGGAGGAGCAGTGATAAGCAGCAGTTCGCTCCCTTCCCACTCCAAGTCCAACTTGGCAGCAGCGGCAGCTGTAGCCCAGAACGCAGCACCGCTGAATACCTCCACATCAGCTGCTCCGACCACCCAGCCAGCCCCGATATCTACAGCCACCATGGAGCGGGACAGGGGCAACGTGGGAACCCTGGACCGACTGACAGCCAAAAGGGACCGGGATAGCAACTCAGATACGCTAAACAGGAAAACGACACCAGTTTAAACTCAGAGAGAGAGGAGAGGAGAAATAGAGATGGAATTTAGAGAGGAAGAGTAGGGCTGTAAATGTGTGGGTGGCACGTCAACAATAAGGTTTCTGTCCTTGAGCCTGAGGTATCGAGCTGCCATAAATATTATAAACAGTCATCAAACATCTGATGCTAAGAGCAAATTCATGACAGCCGCCTTAAAAATTGTCATGACTTTGAAACCTGTTTTGTTAATTGCACAGCAGGGGTACAGTGGCGGATTCGGGAAATGTTTCTTTTCTCTGTTTTTTATTCCTGAATTACTCACTAAATCATAGAGATACAAAACTCCCAGATGTGTAATAAAACAGCCTCCCAATGCAGCAGTTAGGTGCCTTGCCGAGGAGGCAGGGGAACGCTTTCGTTATTTATTTCCCTTATCTCAGTTTTGTCAGTTTCTACAAGGACATCTTTTTAAATCCTGAAAGAAACAGTAAAGGAAGCTTTGATGATTATAAACCCCACTTACAAATCACTAATTTGTACACATCTTAGATCGGATTGGCCTTAAATCTACATTTTCTTTTCACAAAGCAAGACACAGAGTCCTTGCTTTTTGGTATTCTAAACTTTGCAACACTTTTTAACATAATAATTAAATTATAAAGTGGCCAGATGGTACAAGTCACAATTCTTTCTTCCATTTCTGTTTTAAAAGGACGAGAGCGTCACAGACGGGTACATTCTGCCAAGTAACAAGCTGCTCAGTGACAAGTTGACTGCCAATTGAAGGTCAACAGTAGCTCCTTAACCTCTGGACCCGAGAGAGAGCGACCTCAGCCATATCTAACGTAGATCAGAGGAGGCTGCCGCACTGTGAGCCTGATTATTTTTCACTGTGTGTCAAAGGTATTTACAGTGACAGATGGGCATTCACCACAGTTCTAAGGAAAGGAACAGCCATGGACTTAAAGCTTTAGTCTTAACGCCTCCATTACTCCACTGCCAGTTGTCGCAGTAAGATACGGCAACATGATCGTTTGAGCAAGTAACTTATTTTGGCATCAAATCTTTCTAGTATTTGTTTAAACGGAAAGATTTGCGTTTCCCAAAGTGTTGCCCACAATTCTTAAACCATTGGAAAACTTTATAAAATGTAAATAAAAAACAGGAAGGAGACGAGGCAAATCTCATAAATAGATATTTTACTCACACATATTAAATGTTTAAACTGAGAAAAATCTGTCATTTTGAAATTGATGGAAGCAGTATGTCTCGAAAAAGCTGGGTCATTCCCATGTTTGTGTGCATCATCCTCTCTTACAATATTAGACGTAGGAATGCTGTTCTACATCTAATGTTGGATCCTAGTGACTCAAGTCCTAGGTCTCCTTTGTTGTGATGTCATGATGCGTCAGTTTTTTGTTTTGTTTTCCAGTTGGGAAATTCAAGTTGGGAGTTCAAGACATGAACTCCTCTGTGGTTTAGCATCTGGTTGGAAGCTTATGTTGCTCTAAAATCTGCATTAGTGCCAGTCTTTTTGCACTCCCTTTTTAACTGAACACTAACAGCAAGCCAGATGGTTACTTTCCCCTTTAGTCTGGAGGATGCCATGTCCTTGTTTTCCAAAAAGAAATTTTACATTTCAATTTATTTGACCACTCAGTTTTCCACTTGGTCCCTTTTAAATGAGCATTGGCCAAGAGAAGTTGACATGATCTAAGCTTGCTTGACAGAGATTTAACCTGTGTTTGTGGACGGCACACTGATCTGTGTTTGCGCACAATGATTCCTAGATGTGTTCCTGAGCACATCCAAGGATTTTCATGACAAATTCATGCTTGCTTTTAAAGCAGTGCTCTGCGAGGGCCCAGAGAGCACAGTCGCCTCGTATTGATTTTTTGCCTTGTTGTGCACAGATTTCCCAAGAGTATCTGAAAGTTTTGATGATATTATGTAGCGCAGACGATGAGTCATCAAAGTCTTTGCAGTTTTGTGCTGACGAACATTATTCGGATATTGTAACCCTACATGTCTAAGCTTTTTATTTTTACTCAGGTTACTGACCTGATGTGAATTAACCTAATTAGTCCCTCCACCTGTTTCTTTTTAATAATCCTCACTTTTCCAGGTATTTGTTGCTCCCATCCCAGTTTTTTGAGACATGTTGTTGCCACTAAATTCCAAATCTATTTTCCAGGAAATAGTAAAATGTCACTTTTTAACAGTTGATATATTTTCTGTGTTCTATTATGAATAAGATATAGTTTTATGAGATTTGAGTATTACTATATTCTATTTTTACTTACACAATGCATATTTGGCACATCTTTTTTCAAACATAAAAAAAAAATGTGTCCAATTTACTATTTTGAAAATTAATTTGCACAGACAGCGCTTCCCTTCTCATGCTTCCCCAACAGCAGACTCAGTATATCTTTCAGCTGCCTCTCCAGAGAACCTCTCATTGTTACATTGTTACAATCTTAGATTGACATTAGTCTGCTCTGGAGACCAACAGAGAAAATGCTGGAGAGACACCATAATACAATAGACTTTAATTTATTTGCCATAATTGCCAGTTAATAAGGGAAGAGCCAAAAATAACTTTATTTTTAAAAATAAGACAACAATAAGGAAGTGATAACCATGGTTAAAGTTGGAACATAATCACCATCACTCACTCACTTACATCTTCCTGCTCATGATTCATGGTCATTTTGTCATCTGGCAGTGGAAACATTGTTGGATGCCATTTGAAATTTGAAAGCGCTCGTAGAGCTGGACGTTTATGCACTTTATGTGTGTTTTTAAATGAGTAAAACTGATTCCAGGGTTTGTATGACTGCTTATGATAACGATTTGATACCGAAGGCTCCAAGGCAGTATCTGTTGAATGTCCCGCAAAGGGCTGCAAAAACCAAGGACATGGTGGGGTTCAATTCAGTTTACACTCAGGGGATGGAGATTTAGTTAGAATCAGAAGTTACAAATTACTCTAATATAAGAGATCAGCCATTTTACTCAATATTTAAAAGTGAGCAAAGCAAAAAACGTTCTAACCATTCAGTCAGATTTGAAGTAAAAGCCTATTTTTGAGGGGGTTTATGAAATGTTGCCTGAGATTTCTAAGAGGAAAATTCTACAGCGAGACATGTACCACATAACATGTGCTCTAAATCTGATTACTGGACTGATATGTAAAAGTCAGACTGCACTTCTGAATCAGCTGCGTTTGAAAATGAATTCAACCCAACCCCGGTGACAGAAAGTCGGAGGAAGAGGGAAAGAGAAACGAGCGCGCACACCAGCTTCCGTTCCTCTTCCCTCGGTCTCTTTATTAGCTATAACTATATACTATTTCTGAAACTAGAATAATAAATGTATTATTGAGTATATTATCAACCCATTCACTAAAACAAAAGCACATAATGTCTGTAAATGGTAATCTTTGGGTTGTCTTTTCATTCTGAGTGATTATCATCTCTACATGAGATTGTAACTCCTTGAATATTATTATCATGTTGCTGGTGTTTCTATGATCGTAATGGTTATTGCAGGGTATACATTTTTTTGTAATATTTTTATATTCGTTTCGATGACTTTTTATTTTTCTTTCTCTTGCTTATGTACACTAACAGTCAGTGGTGTCACGTGGAAAGCATGTGAACAAAAGTGAGAGGGTGTGTAAATTCATTTATATATCATCTTATTCATTTTATCAGCTTTGATTTGTTCGGGGAAAGTTGACTGAGCATGCATGCTCTGTTTCAGCAACACCCTGCTTCACCCTCACAACGCTGGAACTGGAAGCTGGCCGATAAAAGCCTCCCTGTTGGGTCAGTTTAGGAGTGGCTCCCCTGGGACAATTGGGTGTTATGTGCCTTGCTCAGGGGCACGTCAGTATTTGAAAGAAAGTAATTTTTCTTTTCTAACCATTCTACATATAACTAGACAACTTTCTGGACCACAGTTTGTTTGTTATTTTTGCTGTTGTTGTTGTTTTTTACCCAGTTGTCACTTTGAATGTGTATAATCTTTTTAGTGTAAATGTTTTTTTCTATTCTGTTTACATGTAATTAATTCTTCCGTTGTCTTTTAGAGAAATATTTTTGAAACGTTTGTCTTATTTGCGAATAAGGTTGGGCAACTGGATCAATAGGCCCATATAACCCGTCAGCTGTTTATTATTTATGTCATTTAGTTTTTCTAATTTAGTGGTCTGCCTCTATGAAAATTCAGTTTGGCAAGACGTCGAGGTGTAAATCACAGTTACAATTAGCAGCGTTAGGATGTTCGCGTTTATTTTCTTGAGAGTGAGTTGTCATGGAGACCTGACATTATATGGTAGTGATGGCGCTGCAGAATGTCGAGTTCCTGTGAAAGTCTTTATTGTCCGACAACTTTCCAAGCTAACAAGTGATTCCAGAGCTATGCTATGTAAGCTAGCTGCATGTTGCACATCAGTACATTATAGTTTTCTGCACCTGATCACTTAAAAACCCTTTCAGAACCTGAAAGGTATCCTGCTTCATTTGGGTCTAACAGCTTGCAAATTTAGTCCAGTTTAAAATAATTCTCATAACTATTTTGTTTGGGGTTTTTTGGCAGTGAACAAGAGTGTGTGCAGCTAGGGGGAGAAGTGGCTGCTGCATACACGCCCATCCTGTATAATATAAAGGCAACTGCTGATTGTTGGACTGACGATGGCCAGCTGGCAGATTTTACCACGTCGCCCGGCCCTGTTTCCTAATGTTAGATTTTTCTTTGGTGTTTTCTCTTTCTCTAAACTATTTTACTCTCCTTCCATTTTATTCTTCTATAACCCTGATCCTCATTTCTCTCCATCATCATTTTGTCTTCATTTCGTTGTAGGAAATGAATTGATGTTTTACTTTCTAAACATTACCAACGTAGCCTAATAATCAGTGTTTTTAATGTTCTGACTAGTGTATAACTGTAAGCGATAGACTTTATATTAATCTATTTATTTTGGTGGTGGTATGTATAGATATTCTTAATGTTATATTGTTTCAGAGTTCCTACACCTGTAACTTTGGGCTATAAAAGGCTTTATGCCTGCCTGTGACATATGCTCAGTAGCCTAAGTGCTGGCAAAGTAAATGTGGTCTGTGTTGGTGCTGTCTATGGTTTTTACACAATAATCTTTGAGTACAACAAACTACATCTTTGTTACAGAACTAAATCGACTCTAGAGCACGTCCTAATCTTGTAGTTTTGCTTTCTGCAAAATGTTTATGAAAACATGCTCAAAAGCAGAGATCTCGTTCTTTCGTTTTCAATTCATGTCCTGATGTGAAAGCCATTTTAAAGCCAGCGTGAGTCACCAGGTTCTTTTCCCAACACCTAGGCTGCTGACACAAGTCAAACATGAAGCTCTTCAGATGGAAAACTAGTAAATTTCCACTCAGCAGACTGATACACGGAAGGAACAATATGGAAAAGGGGAAGCAATACAATACAATATACTGATCCTCATTGGTAAAGACAAAAAATATAAGGTATATATAAATATATACATATATAAATATATAGATATATTCAATAAAGTTCTCTATGAAAAATGGTAGCGTCTTGTGCATTCTTGAGTGCAAATAAAATTCAAGGTATTATTGTTGAACTTGGTTAAACTGATTATCTGTTCCCGTACATGTGCATCATTGTCCTTTTTTTCACCACAGCCAATATGACTGTGGAACTATAGTACAGTATTTAATTTATTATTTCATGTTATTTATTATTGTTTAATTTGGCTTTCAAACACCCAGACAAAAAGATTAATATTAAAGTTAAAAAATCAGAGTAAAAATCAAAGCAAAAAAATTGTAAAACCATGGGAGTCAAAAGCTTGGGGAAACATTTTTGCTTCTTTTATGCTTGGAAATGTATTAGACTTAATTAATATCTTGTTTACTAACTAAACTTGTTGAAGAATTGTAACATTTTGTCCCATTTGTTTATCACAGACTGGAAAAATAGGCTCATTTATAGCATCTACCTTTTCAGTCTGTAATGCAAATGTGGTAATTCTTTGTGCTAAATGATATAATGCTACTGCATGACACAGAAGGTGTCCACACCAAATCCAACGTGATGAAAAGCAAAGTTTAAGCAGCGATTTGCAAGTAATTCCAAGCACTGTGGGATAATACCTGAAGCACAGCTAAGGGATTAATGGGAAAGGTGATCAGCTAGGATTGCCTTCAGGAAAGGTGAAATAATGTCGGTAGATGAGAAGGCCCTTGTCATATTTTTCTAAGATCTCACTTTTGTGTCTTTCTTGCCTCCAAAGTTACAAAAAACAAAGTCGTGTAAATTATTCAAGAAAGTCTGCGTGTTAGCATTCTCATAGCGACAACAGACAAGTGCTGGAGGTGGTGTCAGCCGAGACGGTTAAATCTAGGACATCGCTGGTAGTCCGCTGAGTATACACTATATTTACAATAAAATGAAAAGCTTTTTTTTTCCCATTTCAGCTTGGAACAGTACACACCCAGGGTACGTCTTCTGTCATACTGGTGTTTCTGGTGTGATTTGAGTGTGAAATGAAGCAATGCTACATGATGCAGAGGTGTAGCAGTCATTATTCACCTTTGGATCTTCACTGGATGATGCAAAAATAAGCTTTTATTCTAAGGATGGATGGATGGACAGATCGATCGAGTACTGCAGAAGAGAATAATTTTCCAAGCGAGGAAACAGTAGAGACCATGACAGCCAGTAATTAAGACGGTGCGGTCCCTTAATAATGCCGAGCTGACGTCCTCTCTAGAGAATAACACAGGGAGGGCCTGTCAGCCCAGGGGAAATGTGGCTGCTTTTAATACATCCCGCTGACAATAGATCTGCTGACAGAGCACACAGGAGCCTGAGATGTGTTTGGTCGAAGGAGCGAGGAATTTGGTGTCAAAGTTTGTGTTTCTGTTTGCAATCATCCTGAATCAGCCTTTATGTCTTTTTGTGGCAGGAACAGGCACAGCAGCTCTGCACTAGCAGCTTCTATAATGTGAACTGTAGCTTCAGTTTGCATTCTTCCCATATCTTTGTAACTACAGACATAAGAAACCGTGTACTTTTTGTGGCTCGCTGCCCTCATTCATTTTGCAGAGAAGAGAAGGTTGGTTGAGCTCCGCTGCTTTTTCTGCTCAGTCAGTGCAACGATTCTGTTTCAGCACGGAACAATGACAACTGCACAACTGCAGGAAACTATGAGTTTTCAGTCTCGCTTACAGACTCTAAGAATAATATTATGTAATGGCTGCTCCACTTGCTTTCATATCAGATTTACTTCTTTAGATAGATAGATAGATAGATAGATAGATAGATAGATAGATAGATAGATAGATAGATAGATAGATAGATAGATAGATAGATCCACCGTCCTTCCTATGTGGAGTTTACATGATACCCCTCTGTCTGCATGGGTTCTTTCTGGGGACTCCAGGTTCCTCCCACAGTTTAACAACACGCAGTTAGTGGGGTTCAGTTAGTTGTATTCAGAGATGGGCAGTAACGTGTTGCAAGTATAATGCAATTACTTTTTTCAAGTAACAAGTAAAGTAAGTGATTACTATCACAAAAAGTAATTAGATTACTGTTACTTTCCTGTAAGCATGCCGCATTACTGCATTTGTGAGAGTATCTCATGACAATGACGTAAGCGCGTTCGATGCCCATGGTAACAGACATGTGCAGATCAACAGTGGATAATATGCATGGAAGTACTGACCTTACTTTGAGTTTGATTCCATAAAAAGTGACAAAAACATTAGCGTCTGCTGTTTACTCTCCGTGGGAAGAAAACTTTTTTCTACAGCGAAAAATTAAACTTCTAATCTGAGCGAGCAGCGAGCACGCTGCCACAGGAATGTGACATTCACAGAGAAACCCCTGGATCCCACTGACATGACCACTGCGGCACCGGGCAAACCTCCGCTTGCTCCACTCCTGCTAAACAGGTGAAAATAGAAGTAAGAGCGACAGGACTTAGTGCCGCTGAATCTTTGATTTTATTTATTTTTTGCTGTGTTTTACTTGCATCTATTTGAAAGAATGAGTGTAAACACATTTTTTTTATTATTATTTTATACTCTGGAATATGCAGAAAATATGTTTAAATGTTAAATAAATTTCTTCAAGTCAAAGACAGTTGCATACAATTTAATTTGTGCTTATAATTACATTTTTGCTTAATGCTATGTGCATAAAGTTAAAAGATTAAAACTAATAAAACAAGTTTTGTAAAGTTGTTGTCATTATTGCTATAATGTCTTTATAGGAAGATGTGTAAGTGTTATACAGGCACATTCAGGTATAAACACTAATGAAAGAGAAAAACAAATATTTGACACGAGTGGCAGGTCAGTACCTTTGATGGATTAATGGCCACATAATTGCATTTTCCCTATAAAGACAGTTTTTCTGAAGCTTTAATAAGGTAGGAGCTTCCATTATTGTATATCACACTGTGTGGGCAGTGTTCAGCATTTAATAAAAGCCCAGTGCACCACATCCTATCACAGCAGACTTATGTCCACCGTGGGGTTTCCCACGGTGCTCCTGGCTAGCCTGTATTATTATTATGTCTGCAGCATGGCCATACATACATTAAGTAACGATAATAGCTACCGCCTTGTGTCAGCTTTCATGAGTCAACAGGAGTCTGCCACCAGTGAAGACACTCTGCATTTTAATTTCCTCTCTTCACTCAGTCTGAAGCTCGCCGTCCGGCTGTCTCTTCTTCCAGGGCACTTTGGTGTTAAAGAGTGCACGCCTGCAGTCACTGATAACGGCTTCAGGCTTGACGACAGACATCCACATGCTGGTGGGGAGGTCTGTCACTCAAGATTACACTCTCATTTCCTCTTGTCCTTAAATCCTTCTTCTTTCCAGGAAACCTGGGCTGTCTGAGTAACACTCGGGTTCATGAAAACTCAAACAAAGACCAAACTTCAGAGATATGTTTGTTTTGTTAGTCATGATATAGGCACACGTATGTTCATTATGATTTTCTTTTCTAATGTGTAAAAAAAACTATTAAAATGTATATCTACAAATATTTTTTAAAGACTGTAAATTTAAAGGTACATATTTCAGCTAAGATATGACATGCAATTAACAAGAATTTCATTATGCAGTGAAACCTAATTATAGGTTATATTCATTCATGTGGGGAATCTCTTTGAACCTGGCAGCCCTCACCCTTAATATTCAACACATCACTTAACAAGCCCATGCAAAATGAAATCTACACAACCTCGGGGGCGCAAAGAAGTAAACTCTTCCAGAAATAAATATTATCCCAGACACTCACACCCCAAATATTACACCACAAGTCAAGGTGGAATCTAACAAGTATGATTAACCAGTTAACATATAAAAAACAAACAAACAAACAAAATAAACAAAAGAAAGGCAGCAAAAATACTTCTCAGGCTGCAAGAAGGCAAGAGAGAAGGAGTTTAGTTAAGCTTATAAAATTAGCCAGAGGTCACAAAAGCCGGTACATCTTAACGTAAAGTGTTTTTCAAACTGTGTGACCTTTACTTATCCAAATGTCTAACATCAGCACAAATACATTAATGGTACTGGTCAAACTAAAGAGCCACAAAAACTATATATTTCCAAGAAAGTAAAAAGGTTTCAGCATGGTTTGATTGATTGATTCATTGTTTTAGGAAGAGCAAGCTAACTCCACACAGAAAGGCCCCAACCTGCAGGTGGATCCAAACTTCCTGATGGTGAGGTGACCGTCCTAGCTACACTATAATGCCAAAAGTATTCACTCACCCATCCAAAACATTGAATTCCCTTCCATAGCTGCAGTTGCATAAAATCAAGCACCTGGAGATGCTTCTGCAAACACTGGTAAAAGAATGGGTCGCTCTCAGGAGCTCAGCAAAGTCTAGTGTGATACTGTGATAGGAAAGCAGCTGTGCAACAAGTGAAATTTGTTAAAAATGTGCTGCAGATTAAGAACAAGAAGAAGAACCCTTAAATGATGTCATGGGTCTGGGTGCTTTCACCCAGCATTTTCAGTTTCTTGTGTTCTAGTAATATTTTGTATTATGGTTTATATTCATTTATAGTTTTAGTCATTCTATTGTGAGTTTCTGTTATTCCCTGTTTGGATTCTTGATTATTAGATTCCCTCTTGTGTCTTTGCTCTCTGTGTCTCTCTCGTTTTCTGTCGGTGTTTATGTATCCTGTGTGAGCCCTTGGGTCTTGTTTGCTTCCTTGTCTTCCATTCTGTTTCCAGCCCATCATGTCTCCTCTCGCTCTCCAGTGTTCCCTTGCTCCCTCTTGTCTGCCTTTCCTCCACTTGTCTGTCAAACTCAGTCTTGTGTTCCTCCATTTCCTGTTTTATTGTGAAGGTCTCATGTTTCCATGTTCGGTGTGTCTTGTTCTGCTTCCCCTGTGGCGTCATGTTAATTCATGTCAGCTGTGTTCCCCGTGTGTTCTCACTTCCTTGTTATCCTTCTGTGTATTTATGTCCGGGTCTCCCTCTGTCCTGTGTCACGATCTCCCTCATTCCTCACTGTGTGTTTCTGTCTACCAGCTTGCCGGCCC